AACCAGCCACAGCACAGCCAGGTTAAATCACAGAAGACCAGTTGCAGCCAAGACCTCCTAGAAGCCCCTCTGGTAATGGAGTGGAGAGGGCCGTGCCTGGGGAGCGCGGGCGTGCTGTCTAGTTTGGGGCATCAGGCCTGGGGAGAGGATGCAGCCTGCTGGAGGGAGATCAGAGGGAAGCGGCCCGCATGATTAATGGCACGGAGGGGATGGAGGGACTGACTCATGAGCGAAGATGAAAGCGCTTCAAGGAGCCGGGGTGCAGGACCAAGTGGGGCAGATGATAGCAGCCTCCAAGTATGCGGGTGGATAAACACCCAGGGGGAGACAGGCTTCTCCAGAGGTTGCGAGGGGCTCCAAGAGGGTGGCAGCTAAGGCGTGGGTCTTTTGGGGAAGGCTCAAGAGATGCTGGATGTCAAGGGGAACTCTGGACTGTTGGGATTTGAAACCATGTGGACAGGTCACTGTGGGGTGACTCCTTCAGGGAAACCTGCTTGGATCCCATGAGGCCCAGCGCCCACCACGGCTGTTGACCTGGTGCCTGAGTGGCTGCCTCAGAATTACTCTGATTCCGGGCCCGAAGAGGACTGAGAAGGAGAGACAGACAGAGAGGCTCACCCACAGGGGGACAGACAAACTTAGTCCCACCCTCCTCTTAGATGCCAAGTACTAGATGTCAGCCTTTTGAAGCCATCTGCTCTGAACATTGCCAATCTGAAAAAGAGGAAGACCTTCGACAAGCGGGTCGACACAGAGGTGGCATCGATGGGCCCCAGCATGAGGGCATTGGTGAGGCTGGCGTGGCACGGGCCCTGTCTTGTTCTGTTGCACATGGGGTCACCAGGAGTCAAAACACACCCAACGACAACAGCAAGTGCCCTGAAAAAGGATCCTTGGTGGTGTAGTGGTTAAAGCACTCCACTGACAACCAGAAGGCCCATGGTTCAAACCCACCAGCCCTTGCAAAGGAGCTAGGTGTGGCAGCCTGCTCCCAGTGAGGTTGACAGCCGGAGAAGCCCTGTCCTGAAACATATCCGTAGAGCAGTAGAGACGCCATGGAAGTGGGTTTGGGCTTTCCTGTTTCTGAGGTCGTTTTCACACATCTCTTCCTATTTTTGGTAAAAGTTAGAAACACTTGTCCTAAGCCCCTTGTTGAGTGAGACAGGACCTACACGCCTATATGCCTGCCAGTGGAGCTGAATGCAACCCAGCAGGCACCCTGGCCCATGTGCAGTTCCCTTGGTTGGCTCGTCCCCCGCAGGGATACGGAATGCAGGTGTTGTGGAAGTTGTGGCTGATGTGAGATGTCACTAAGAAGCCCTCAATCCTTAAGCAACCTTCTCAGAGAATTCTCAGAAATTGGCTCGAAGATAAGGAGGGATGGCTTTGTCAAAAAGCAGCCCCCTGAGAGTCAAACCCGCCTGACAGTCGGGTCTCAATCACCAATTGGCTTGAGGACCATGATTTTCAACCTGAGTGCACATTTGAATCATCTGAGGTTCATTAAAACTCCTCATGCCTCAGTCTCCAAAAGGTTCTGATTCAATTTGTCTTGAAAGGTAGGAGCGAGGCACCCCGACAGAGCTATTTTCCCGGGGATCCTCCTGTGTCCTCCTCTCGAGAAGAATGGACAAATTCTGTGTTGGAGGCAGTAACAAGTCCCCTGAACGTGACTTCTCCTTTCTCGCTCTCGGGCACCATCCCTGTGTTTGATCCCATTGCTGCGACCATGGTGTCAATCCATCCCATTAAGGGCCATCCCTCTCCTTTGAAAAGCATGGTGTCCTTCTCTGGGCATTGTCCTTCCTGATCTCCTGTCCGGAGTACCTGAGCTGAAGTCTCGCCAACCTCCTTTCTAAGGGGAATGCTGGCTACACCTCTAACATGGACTTGCTCATTCTTCTTGCGGTCCAGAAGATACACTCTGCCCTTGGCTGACACCTTGATTGGAAGGCCACCATTTGTCTTTGGTCTCCCTCGGTGGCTGTCTAGCTTCCGTGCGTGGGTGAAGCCTTCGAGAATGACGGGGTTTGGGTCAGGGGCACCTTGGTTCTCCCGCTGGCAGGTACGTCTTGTCCTCGAAGAGGCCTTGTGCAGCAGCGTTGCCCGATCCCACAGGTGTTGGCTGCCATGGAGGAGGCTTCCGTGGGCATGGATGGCTTAGCCAAGTCAACTTAAATAGTTGCCAGCTTCAGTGTTGTCTCCGTGTGTCCTGACGCTGTCTGTTGGTCCAACCGTGCGGATGCGGTTCTCTTTATGCTGAAATGTAACCAGATGGAAGCTGTCGCCTTTGAAGGCCCTTGGTACGGGCTGCATATGCGCTTCACTCTCCACAAGCCAGGGTGTGTCATCTGCATGAGTTCACCATGAGCCTTCCGCTGGGCCCGATGCCTCCTCCTTGGTCGTGGTCCTTACTCGAGGTCGAAGTGGGAAATGGTACGGCCTGGAGGAATGTCCCCTGACCTCAAGACGCCCCTAGTTGTGGTTGGACAGCTGCCCCTTGGTCCATGTGAAGGTTCTTCAGGAACGCGACGAGGGCTCCAGAATTTCCCTTCTCTGCAATGTTAGGATCCACTCAGTCCAAGGCCTTTGTGAAGCCAGGGATATCAGCAAGGATATCCTCGTTTTACATCTTACTCTGAATCTGGCTTGAATGTCCATCTCTGCAATTTGACTAAAATATCATGAGAAAGTTCTCTAGTTAGTTTAAGCAAGCACCCAGCAATCCTCCGGCCACTCAGGACCTCGCTGTAAAGAGACACCTGTGGAGCAGCAGCTAGTCCCTGCCCTGTAGGGGCCTCTGGCTCAGAGGGAGGAGGACACCGCTGTGCCCCCCGGGACTGGTCTTGTTCTGAGCATTGCAGTCATGAACAGTTCTACTCTACCCCAAAGCCTGCAAACATATCTCCCAAGAGAGAAGGTAAGTTTCCAAAGGCAACAGTTTAGTTATGACTCAAGGGGGTTTCAGCATGATGGCACACAGATTTGAAAAATAGTTCATGACAAACCATAGGACCCAGAAATACCACTCATCGGTATGTAAAATCCATTGCCATCAAGTTGATTTCAAACCACCAGCACTCCAAAAATAAAACAAAGGTTCAAACAAAAAGCAAAACTTGTACACAGATGTTCCCAGCAGCAGTGTTCACTGTCGCCCCAAGGTGCAATCAGTTCATAAGCGCACCCACTACTGGATGGATAAGCAGGATGTCGTGTGTCCGTACAATGCTGCGTTACTCATTCTAGAAAGGAACGATGTGCTTGCATGTGCTACAGCATGGCTGGACCTCTAACATGGTGAGCACTTGAGGTGCAAAAAAGTCAGACCTCAAGGGCCACATATTGTTTGATTCCATTTAGATCCTATTCCTGGACTAGGTAAATCCCGTAGAGCAAGGAGCAGATTCGTGGTTTCTAGGGGCTAGGAGAAGGGGACAGCTGACTTGGCGCAGGTTTCCTTGCAGGGGGATGAAGTGATTAGACAACAGTAGGAAGACTGCCTGCCCCGCCTCAGACCCTTCAGAGGGTTAAGAGGTCAGTGGTTATGCTCTGGGCAGTGCATCGCACTCTACAAAAGATCTATGAGCAATCTTGCGGCAATTGTGTCCTTTCTTTTGATGCATGTTCTCTCTTTGATTGAAGTCACCATGGGTGTTCACCAGTAAGTGGGGGAAAGTGAGTGACGTAAAAGAGAAAGACCAGTCCTGGTGGTGGGCGGCTATGGGAGCAATCAATCGGGAAGGTCGTGTATAAAGGACAGAGACCTCTCGAGGGAAGTGTTCTCCCCAGCAGGCTGGCCTTTCCTGCCCGCAGTCTCATTCTCTTGGATCAGTGCTCCACGTGCCGACCAGGGCACTTTCTGAGGGAGTGTCAAGCGTTGCCTTGTCTTGCCTTCGTGGGGAGAGCGTAGTGAGCCTGCTCGTGCTCCAGTTCTGTTCCGTCAAGCTCCACTTCCCAAAACACCAGGTCTGTGTTGGGTTTGCTTCTCTCGCTTTCGTGCACTGATTTGGAGTTGGCCCAGATGCTATGGGCCCCACAGGACAGAGGGGCACTGCTCCTTGGGTGTTCCAAGACTGTCAATTTTCTTTGGAGTGGACAACCTCTTCTTTCTCCTGTGGAGCAGCTGGTGTATTTTAACCACTGACCTCATGGTTAGCAGTCTAATGCTTAACCCACTGGGCCAGTTCACGCCTCTCTCAGCAGCCCTTAGCACCCAGCATTTATGTAGAAGGCATTTTTGCAACAGATTTACAGTGCCTGTGCCCTCTTGCCAGAGTTCTAGAATAATAGGGGACCATCCAGGAGCCATGGTATGTCTGGTAAGTTTTGAGCTGCTAACCACAAGGTTGGTGGTTCAAGCCCATCAGCCGCTCCTTGGGAGGAGGAGGAGGCTTCCTGCTCCAGTGAAGGTTGACAGCCTTGGATACCTTACACACAGTCCCTGTGAGTCAGCTTTGACTGATGTCAGTAGGCAGGAGACCTGCTGAGCTTCGTCACATCTCAGTGAAGCCATGTCCCTCCACCTCACGGCAGCCTTGTGACAAGCACGTTTCAGTCTCCTCTTTGCAAACGTCAGTGTGGAGTACATGTGTGAGACACTCACATTCACACGCAGCAGGAGCACACAGGGAAGCAGCAGCAGTCGTGTTGTCTTGGTTTCTGTTCTGGTGTTCGGCGCATGCAGACGGGGGAGGCGGGGCTGCGCACAGGTGGATGGACTGTAAGAACACGTATGACATGCCTCCAGGAGCCATGGGCTCTTTGCTCAGCCCATGCCGCCTCAGACCTTCTGTGCATACAGGTCACCTTGGGAGTCCCTCCCAAGAGACAAGCGCGCTCAGCAGTGGGTGTGCTGCTCTGGGAGTTTCTCTCTGACATGGGCTCACCTGACATCCCTTACCTCAGCATCGTGCCACGGAGGATGATGGTCAGTGATCATCGTCAATGCCTGTGTCAAGGGCTCTCTCACACCTTCTCTTCTTTGCGGTTTGTCCCAGCTGTCGGCATTCAGATGAAGCTCGAGTTTTTCCAGAGGAAGTTCTGGACTGCCAGCAGACAGGTGAGTGGCCCTCGGCCGATTGAAGCATCCACAGCACTTGTCATTCAAGTGGTCACGTTCGGTCACCGGGAGCCCAGGCGTGCCAGGCTTCGGATGCCTGTCTGTGGACACGCGCTGCGGGTGCTGGGTTGCCTTGGGTTTCAGTGGGGAACAGAGAGCTGTCGGCATGGCGAACACCACACGCTGGGCAAACCAGGAGATGTGCTCCTCGGTGCAGTCCCAAGTGTGAAATCAAGACAGCGACCTTTCGGAAGACCTGTCTCTTTGAAACACCGGGCTTTGCGGGACTTCCACTGCGAGTGCCTTCCCGTCCTGTGGTGATGCCGGGGGTTTTATTTGTCTTTTGCCCATGTCTCTGTCGTAGTGCTGAAAGTCTCTGCGTGATTAGTGTTGGGGGGACGCTTTTGTCGACCAGCCTGCCTTGGAGCGTGTGGGAAGCACCCCTCATTCCCGTGGCTGTCTTCTGGCACGGGGAGCTCAGGCGGGAGTCGTGAAATGACTTGGCAGAAATGGCAGCGCGTCAATTGCGCGCCGGGTACCTAGCTGCTAACCGGAAGGTTGGTGGCGAGAAGGCTGTCCTTGGAAGGGAGCTGTGACCCCTGCCTGTGGACTTCATGACCCAGCTACGTCTGCTCTACCCAGCGGGCTTGTTCTGGGTAGAGATTGACTTGATGCTCCCTAAGGACAACCACCTCCCTCTAAATGCTAGGGCCTTTCTTAGACTAAGACTTTGTTTTATCATTTTATTGGGGGCTTGTGCAACTCTTATCACAATCCATCCACCCATCGATTGTGTCAAGCACATTTTGTACATTTGTTGCTCTCATCCTTCTCAAAATATGTGCTTTCTACTTCTCATTTTCCCCTCCCTCCTCGCCCCCGCCCCATGAACACTTGATAATTTATAAATTATTATTATTTTGTCATGTCTCACACTATCCGATGTCTCCCTTCACCCACTTTTCTGTTGTCCATCCCCCAGGAAGGAGGTTATATGTAGATCCCTGTGATCGGTTTTTAAACCCACAAACAAAACCCACTGCCCAGGAGTCCACTCCGGCTCATAATCACACTGTAGGACAGTGTAACTGCTCCATAGGATTGTAGGGAGTTATGGGTTGTACCGCGAATCACAGGTCAGCAGTTCAAAACCACCAGCCACTCTGAGGGAGAAAGATGAGGTTTCCTATTCCCATAGAGATTTATAATCTTGGAAATCCACAGGGAAGCTGTACTTGCCCTCCTGGGTCACAATGAATCAGCGTTGGCCCAAAGGCATTAAGGTGGGGCGTCAGATACTGTACAATTCATGGACACGGACTGCCTCATCTTTTTCCCAGGCAGCGACAGGTGGGGTTTGAACTACCGACCTTCCTCAAGCAGCCCAGCTCAGTGCTCCGCAGGCTGTCTGAGCCCGTGAGCCTTTACAGGGGCAGACAGGCTCCACTCTGTCCTGTGCAGCGGCTGGCAGGTCTGAACCGATGGCCTGGCAGTCTTTGAATGCTGACCTACAGTCCTTTTAAGATCCTTTAGGAAATCATAAAGTAAGAACACGAACAAGGATTTTCTAAGTTATTGGGAATTAGCTAAAATTAAATGGTTATGATTACATTTCTAGTTACTTAAAGACTTGAGGTCTTAACAGTGTGTTACCAATATTGCATGATAACATGAGTTAAAACCAGTGAGAAGAGCCAGGCAAACATGTGGTCATCTATCTTTTATTGCTTGGAGTTGTGATAAGGATTCCGGAGATCCTAGGTGGCACAGAAGGCTAGATGCTGGCCTCCTCATCTCAGAACACTCAAACCCCTGCCACCGGATGCACGCCGACTCATAGTGACCGTGCAGCACACAGTAGAGCTGCCCGGGTTTCCAAGACTGTACTGAGTATGGGAGGAGAAAGCCCGCCTTTCTCCCAAGAAGCAGCTGGTGGTTTCAAAGGCAGGCCTTTGGAATTGCAACACAAACATGAAACCACGGTGCCACGGGGACTCCACTGACCTAAAGGGTGGTGGTTGGGACCTATCCTGAGAAACCTCTGAAGAGGCCTGGTTGTCTGCCTCCAGCAAGGCCTGGCCGTGAGCGCTGCCGAGGACGCTTCTCTTTCTCTCGGAGACAGTCGGGAAACCGAGCCTCTGCATGGCCTCCAGACCTCCGGGTCTGTGGACTCCGGAGCCCAGGCAGGCGCCGCCGGGGTGAAGTTGAAGATTTGCTTTAACAGATGATGGGCTTGAGCGCCGATGCCTGTGTAGCTGAAATCCCAGGAGCTGCAGTCATCGCCAACACAAATGTGCAAGTAACACCTTTCTTCTCCCCACCTCTCCCTGCACAGTGCGCCTCTCTGGATGGCAAGTGCTCCATCAGCTGTGATGATGAGGTAAGATGAGCCCAGCCCTGCTGGCACCTGGGCTGGGACTTTGAGGGGGTGGTGGTGCAAAGGGGTGAGAGGGCGGGTGAGAGACCCTGCTCACTGGGGGAATATCCTGTAGGTGAAGAGGAGTCTAACCAATGCTGCCTCTGAGCCCATCCCCACAGCTTAAGAGCATGGCATGTGTGCTTGCTTTCCCTGCCTCCCTGCCTCCTCCTCCCTCTCCCAGGAGAGCATGTGAGAGCTGGAGCCCTGGGCCCTAATTGCCCCAGGACACAGCGCTCTTGGACTGCTGGCGTTTGTAGGACATAGTGCATGTCCTCCTGTTTGCCATGAGCATTCTAATTCTTCAAGATCACCCCTATCATGCCTGTCAATTTCCCACCTTCAGAGCAACCCTGTGAAGTGGATAGGAATTCAGGGCACTTTCGGCAGATCTGGAAATGGGGACGCAGCAGAATGAAGTGGGTGGGCGCTTCCCTGTGCTGAATGACTTGAAAACCTTGGGGGTGGGTAGCAGAGCACTGCCTTCCTTCTCTGCCCCTCCCTCTCTCCCTCTCTCCCTCTTCCATCTTCCATCTTTTACTCTCTGGCTCATCATTTTGGGGGGGTGACTCCCTTCCCACCAACGAGCAATGGAAGAAGAGGGGAGCAAACTGCCATGGCCACTTGTTTGCTGCCTACGTTCAAAACAAAAAGTCAATCCTGGCTTTCAAACAAGCAGATGGAAGGGGCCGCCTCACGTGGCTCCAAAAGCCATGTTGACTCCTGTTCTTGTCTGCATTGATGGACAGCTGTCCACGCCTCAACTAGGCCCGATAAATTAACCAAATACTTACACCCCTTCCAGGTGATCAAAAGGGTTTAAAGAATCTTAATCACCCATCATTTCAACACAGAAAATATAATGTAGGCATAGATTAGAAAGAAAGAAAAAAATACACCCAGAACAAGCACCAGTTCTCCACCGAATGTCCCTGTAGAAACTGTTGAATTGGCCTGTGCTTTGCTGTGTGCATTCTCGCCAACATCAGCCAGGGGAGATAGGGAGAGAGACGGACAGACAGGAGCAAAGGAAACACCACAGAGAGCCAAAGAGGGTGCGGGATGAAGTAAGAACCACCCTGTGTCGTCTGCAAAAGGCCCTGGCTGCCACTCTAAAGAGAGCCACGATCTATCTGTGAGCCACAGTAGAAGCCAGCCAACTTTTCAGGAGATGCCCAACTTGTTCGGCTCACAACCCCAAAGTGAACTTCCCCTAAAGCTATTATTCATTAGGAGCCCGAATGGTCCAGCGGTCAAGAACTTGGCTGCCGATGAAAAGGTGTTTGGTTGGAACCTACCGTCTGCTCTGTGAGGTCTGCTTCCATCAGTCCTACAGGGTGAGAAGCCCTGTATGCAGATGGACTTGTTTAGCTTTTTCACCCTGTGGTGCTATGGGTTAGACAAGAGGTTGCTAATCACGAGGTCAGCGGTTGAAACCCACCAACTGCTCAACAGAGGAAGGATCAAACTGTTTCCTAAAGAGTTAGAGTGGGTATGGTTTTGTGTATGTGTGTTTTGGCTGGGGGGGGGGGGGCGGGGCACATTACTTACCTTGTGAAAACCAGGTTTCATTTACCAAAGAAGGGGGAGAGGCCCTCAGAGCAGTGACACAGCCTTGCATAAACTGAATAGAAGTTTAACGGTGAACATCTGATGCTGGAACCTCTCCCTGGGAGCCTTCAGAGTCGCCTGCCAGGAAGCGGCAGTGAGAGGGTGATGTCCTAAGTGAAATGAGGGGCAAGCTCTAAGGCGGGAGCAGTTCTGGTAGGGAGAGGACACGGTGACTATCGAAAACACAGCCACTCTCTGTATTAATGGATTTCATGTTTCTAAGTTTCCCCATTCACTAAAATTTTTTTGCAACCCCCAAATCAACATAGTCACCCACATGCAAATGCACAGAACAGCCGCAACTCGAGTCACCAGACACGCTCGTTCCCAGCTGGACTCGAGCAAGGAGGCTCTGACTTCCTGTCTCTGTTCTCCCACGGGGAGCAAGCGGGGATTCCGTGTCACAGCGTTCGCACTTGCATCTTGGTGTTGGCGATTCCACTGTTTCCCAAGGTCGCCAAGCACAGTGCAGCGGGACTGCACGGTGTCTGTGAGCAGGAGGACACTTCCATGTCTTAGACAAGCTGTGTTCGGACACGAGCTGTAGTGCTGTGGACTGTGCGGCAAATGTCAGGGAGTCAACACTGTAAACGAGTGCTAAACAAAAGATCTTCAAATAGAAATACACAGAAAGCCAGGTTCTGTATTAGTTGAGTGACGGCTTCGTGGTGACCAGAGGCTCGCAGGAACTGAAATTTCAATTCCTCTGTGAACTATGGTTCTGAATTTGCTAAGTCCAGTTTTGCAGTGACTTTATAGAACATAACTCCCGTGCGTGTCAGGAATGGACTCGACGTGTTATGCCAGTAGAACCAGCTCTCTTTGCACTTGGACAAGAGGGCTTTCTCCTCTCACTGGTCTCCTGCTTCTGTGCCCTACAGCCATTTGAAGAGTAACGGGAAAAGAATACTGTTTGTTTGGGTTTTTAATTCCAAAATCAACAACACGTGTCATTGTTAGGAGACTCAGGCCTTCCTGTTGGGCATTTAATCCAGGACTCTCAGTATGCTTCAGATCCAGCTTGAAACATAGGTGGTGCTCCGTTAAGGCTGGGCCACTAGTTGTTGGTTGGGTGACTGTTTGTATGGTTGAGTGGGTGCTTGAATGAGTGATGACTTAAGTAATTGGCTGCTTGGTTGTACAGATGAGTGAGTGCTTGGTTGTGTAGCTGACTTGTTGGGTGAGTAGTTGGTTGGTGGCTTGATTGATTGATTAGTTGGATGAATGGTCATATGGATGAATGGGTGTTTGCTTGGTTAGTTGAGTGGTTGGTTGGGGGTTTGGTTGACGGTTGGTTGGATGGCATTTTGGGCTGGGTTGTCTAGTGAAACAAAAGCAGTGACACTCTGTATGCACTGCAAAGAGCTTGGTGTTAAGAAATAATCCTGTGTCAAGAAGGCATCCAGCCCAGTCCATCTTCTGTCCATGGGTCTGATGCCATCCTGTTGCCTCTTCAGGCTCACATAGCTACAGACCTCCTGTGACCAAAAAAGGGGAATCAGAAAGCAAGGAGATCACAGGCCAATGGGTGCAGAGTCCCATTGATCCAAAGTCAGTGGACCACAGGGCAGGATGCTGACATTGCTCAGGGTCAGGAGGCCCACATGGGGCTGCCCCTGGAGACAAGCAGAGTCCAGAAAGCAATGAATCAGATGAGCAGAGAGAGAGAGAGAGGAGGGGACCTCAGTGTCTCTTTCACTTTCCTAAGAGCTGTCACCAGACTGTGACCTTTGATTGACAGGATGGACTCTGTCCCTGCACAAACTCGAGTTGACATGAAAATCTAACCACCCCAGATGGAGAGTTCAATAGTTGGATGAATAAAAGTATTTCCCTGCAGTACTTCTGCTCCGTGGACATGTGTGTCATTTCAAACTGGATCCCCTTTTAGAGGCAGACTACCCATATCTGTGTGATGTCAGAGGTGATTGACTTAGGAGGCAGGATAGCATGATGATTCCAGATCTAAGCCATAGAGCTGGGCCCACCAGCGTCCTACTGCAATCGGACTCGAAGAAGCGATTCAACCAAGGGAAAGCCTCAGAGACCCTCTGTGCTCAGTTTCCTCAACTATACAAAATCCACCTCACGGAGCAATGGTGACTGATGAATGACAGAATATATGAGAAGTGCCTAGCCCCTCACATCTAGCAGGCACTCAATAAATGTCAGCCATACATTGAAAAAATGTGAAGAGTTTTCTCACTGACAGGTGGCTCGCCTGAACATAAGACCTTAGACAAGTGGCATACATACCTCAGGTACTTGACAGGTGCACCTGGGCACGCCGAACACAAGTTATGGTTTCTTCCTCTGTACTGCCACATGCCTCATTTTGGCAACCAAAGGGATAAGACCCCACCCCATTGTCATTGAAGGTTCATGCACCGTAGAAGCAAGAAGCCTAGTGGTACAGAGGTGAACGCCCAGAGGTGAACAACCTAACGGTTGACCATCGAACACACCAGCTGCTTCACGGGAGAGAGAGAAGGCTGTCAGTCGGCTGCTGTGTAGACTTACAGCCCTGCAGACCCCGGGCAGGGCAGCAGTTCTACTCTGTCCTCTAGGGTCACTGTGAATCAAAGTCGACGTCCTGGCAATGGTGATCTACTTTGAAAAGTGACCCTTGATTTCGAGCTAATTTCTGAACTCAATCTGATGCTCCAATGTAGACAGGTGGCATTTTGAAATTATTGTCTATTTTCCTCTTTGCCTTGGCTTCAGCAACCACTTGATGGATATGTTTGTGTGTTTTCTTCTTCTGTTGTTGTTTTATTGGAAAAGTTGGCCTGCCTCCCCACCAAGGCCCCTTTCCATCTCATCAACCAACTCTCTGCACCTGCCTTCAGACTTCCACAGCTTTTCATTCAGCCTCTGAGGCCAGGTCCCCTCCCAGTGACCCTTCTCCTTCATTGACCAAGTCCTCGTTAAAAATAGCTCTGGGCTCATCCGGTTCACATGCTCCAGGCGTGTCTTCTACACTGAAAACCCACCTCAGACCCCTCAGACTCAGCAGAAGTACTTTGTCTGCACCCAGCCCTGTATCTCCCCCTCTGGAGGGCTCCTTTGGGTGGGTAGATGGAGCCGACTTGGTCAGATGTCATCCCATCTTTGAAAGATACATCTTGGTTGGACAGCCAGAGCCTTTATCAGATGAGTTAAAAGGTTTGACTGTGAAGCTGACTGAAGACTTTTAAGAAATCCCATGCCACCCAGCACAAATAGTTGCTTCTGATTCTAAGAGATGACCATTCAGAAAGTTCTGTGTCTGGCACCCAGCTAACCTCTGGAGATACAATGGAAAGAAGAGTCCAAGAGGGTTCTGACCCCCTGGAGTTTCCTGCCTAGCAGAG